TCTGCAGGTGCTTTCTGCAGCATTACATTTGGGGCCGTCGAAAACAAAGTTCTTAGGTGGCCTAACATGGTCTTTGCACATCTGTTCTCATGGCTCTTTAGGCAGTTCCAAGGCGAGTTTTGCCAAAATTAAAATGACAGCTCGCTTGCCAATTCACCTTGGTGTCCTGCCCAGACTACGGTTCTGAGCCTCCCAGCCTTCTATCAAAGTGTTTGCTTATGCCTAACAAGCTCTCATAACTTTGCCTCCTGTCCACGCTACTATGTTCACAGATGTATTTGCAGCAAAGGTAAATACATTTGTAGACATACCCATTGTCCGTATGTCTCAAATATCCCCTGTTAGTTTGTAACCTTAACTTCTTGATTTCAACTTCCCCTTAAATTACTTTATATATTAAAAAAAATGTAAATGTTAGACTACATATTCATCTGGTCACTTAAGATTCATAATCTACGATAGAATTTTTTAGCAGAGTCTTTGTAAACCAGGACTAATAATTTTTCAGCATCATTGTTCATAACTTGAATCAGCAATCTCCTTGCCACTTTTTGTGTGTTTAAATTATTGAATTGATTTTCAATGTAGGGCTTGTTTGTTTGGTTTGGTTTTTAAGGTTTCTATTGTAAATGGAGTCTCTGGGTGGTGCAACCTGTTAGTGGCTTGCCTGATCTAAGGGAAAGGGCTGAGTCCACCCGGAGGCGCCTTGGAAGAAAAGCCTGGCGGTCTGCTTCCCAAAGATTCATCGTGGACACTCTGAGGAGTACAGTTCTACTGGACACAAAGGGGGTCACAGTGAGTCAGAGTTGACTCAACAGCAGCCGTTGTTTTGGGCCCCGCCCCCACCCCCACCCCCCTGTGCTTACTTGCATCTTCAGGAGAGAGACAGGACTGGCTACTCCCATGAAGAGTTACAGTTCTGAAACCCACAGGGGCAGTTCTGCCCCATACTTGACTCGACTCTATAGTGTCGCTGAGTTAGAATTGGCCGAGCAGTGAGTGAGAGCCCTGCTTCTTGATGCCCTGCCAGCACTTCCTGTGGGAGGGAGGGGATGGTGCGACTGCAGGCGCTTCACATCATTTTCCACATGGGTGGCCATTTTCCGATCTCTCGATTCTATTGTCCTTTGCCCTCTAATTTCAAGTACTGCCCAGACCCTAAATGAACATCGGTCTTTGAGTTACCAAGGCCTAATCCATAGAATTGCATTTTTATACACGAGCTCCAATTTTTCTTTTAACTTCTTGTCCCAGAATTATCCCCATTTTATCTAAGTTGGTGAAACCATGTCCTTCTAACACACATTTGTGGCTATTCCCATTCTCCTCTTTTCTAGCTGCCAGAAACCGAAAGGTTTTTCTCTTTGCCATCCCACTTATTAAATCTTAGCGGCAATCCCTCCAGTCGTGCAGATACCCTCGCACTGCGAGGGTAGTGCTGGATCGGGCACGGCTTGGCTCTGTGGAGCACCTTGGAGTCACCCTGAGTTGGAACGGACTCAGAAGCACCTAGTCTCAGCGAGCACTCCGTCCAGGCTAGGTGTGCACCACATTGCTCTCTCTCTTCCCAAGAACTTCTCAGAATCTGGGTTGGGAACAATAATTTTTAAAACTGTTCTAGTTCCTTTTATTGTTGATTTCTTTTAAAAGAGACTTATTAAGAAAGGAAAGTGACAACTTTTACACCTGTCTCTGTCAGGAAGGGCTTATTCACCGACATAGCATATATATATATAGTTTTTCTGTAAACGAGGAAGCTATCTGTACCTAACAGATAATTTGCAAAATTTCAAGTGTTGTAAATGTTCTGAAATGTAATTGAATCCATACTTGGTAACTTATTCTTTATAAACATCCTTTCAGTTTCCAAAATTATATCACACTCAGAGAACTAAGAGTTGCTTATTATTCCCAGGAATCCAGTTATTTAAGTTATGTAATTTCTTCTGCTTCTCCATGGCATGTATTAAGAAAATAATATTATTTTAAAGCTCTTGGCCAATGCACAGTACAGATGTTTAATGCTAATAATAGTCGAGCACTCTGCGGAAAATTGTGGAGAAGGGTTGGGAATAATTTAATTTTGCTGGTCTCCTTTGCACTTTGGTACCTGCCGCTGCCATGACTTCCTGTGGATCTTCGCTAATCTCTTGATAGAGGCTTGGTGCTGTTCAGCCCGACTTTCTTCCATCAGGATAATTCTGCGCCAGACTTGCTCGTTTAGTCATTTTCACTAATTGGGATCAGCAGAAAGACTGCCCAGAGGCACATGAGTGACATGATCCTTGGCTCCCAGAGCTGTGTCGATGCAATGACCAGTCCAGTTGTTGTTAGCTGCCTTCTGTGTACTGAGCCGAGCTGGCGCACAGACCAAGGGCAGTAAGACTGACCCCTGCCCCCCCCACCCCCC